TTATAACTTAAAATAAAATATAAATACTTCAAAAAATTCAGTTGAAGTTTTATTAAAAAAATGTCGAATTGGTCAGAGAAATTTAAAAACTTTGAACATGCTATCGATTGGATCAAAGTTGCAAACTCTGATAAACCAAAGTTAAAATTAAACGAATATAGATGTGTTCTGATCGATTACAAATTATATTATGAAGTCAAGACACAAAAACCGGGAATCACATTTTTGATTGATATCAAAAACTTTCATCTGCTTCAGAATTATACTTGGACATACAATAAAATTGGAAACACATACTATATTTATACAACTGTCTATACAATACATATAAAGAAAACATTTACTATTCATAGTTTAATTTGTCCTAAGTTTAAAATGGTGGACCATCAAAACAGGAATGGTCTTGATAATAGACAATGTAATTTAAGAGAAACTACATCAAGAGAAAATCAATTGAACTGTAGATTAAGTAAAAACAATATATCAGGATATAACGGAGTTTATTTTTGTAAATCAAAAAATTGTTGGAGGTTCGAATAGTATGAGAATAATAATGCTAGAACAAAATGTTTTCAGATTACAAAAAATAGAACTAACAAACAAGCAAAACAACAAGCTATAGATTTTAAATTAAAACATGATGAAAAAACTGGAAATCGAAATGGATATGAAGTTGTTTATTAAAAATTCGATGTTAAAAGAAAAAATTTGTTGGAGACATAAACATAAAGATGATTTGCGGAACAAAGCAATTAGAAAATATAAACTATCAAATTTAGATATTTAACAAAGAGTTTACATATGAACACATAAATAAAAATAGTTTGATATGAAGAGATAAAAAAAGCTCACTAGTATAAATAAAGGTATATTCTTACAAAGTAAACATGTGAAATACCAACAAAAAACTTAAATGTGTGACTATTCCAAATATATCAAATGAAACAATTATGTAAGAAAAGTCGACGCCAAAATCTAAAATAGAATCATTTAAAATTTACTTGATATGCGATTATTGATTAAAAGATAAAGCTCAATTTTTTTTTTTTTTAAAAAAAAAAATAACCATACATCGACGGTTTCTTGCAGAATTCATATGTCTAATGCTCACTTAAAAATAATATTTTTAACGATAAAAACCAAAAAAAACTCCTCACCACATCAATAATCTCGACAAAATTTGATTAATAATTTACTGAAATGTATCCTATTCAAATCATTAATTTTCTACCTCCCGAAAATTGCTCTCTTGTATACAATAACTTTAAAATTAAATTTAATGCCTTGCCGAATCCTGGCTGTGCTAGGGTCTATTTTTCGGATAAATCGGATCAAAACATTCCTATTCCAAACAAAATGGTTTGTCGAGACTTAACAAATAACAAAAACAATCCAAAAATGCCGAACACCAAATATTTTATGATTACTAATCATAATAAATATGTTTTAACGTATTATGGATATCGTATCTGTGGTATGACAACTAAAGTAAATGGAGGATTTCAAATTTATAAATATTAATTTCACAAAGACTTAAATTTATCTACGATTATCATTTGTATTTGATCAAACAAGATTGACAACTTGATTCATGTAAAATGGAAATTAAGATTTGTTTCCTAATTTGATTTGTTTTTATTTGTTTTTCTTCGAATTTTATGTCTTTCTTTATTTTTAAATAGATAAAAATTACTTATAAATAACAAGATTTATAAAATGTATTTTTTTTTTTTTTAATAAAAATTAAAATGCCTAAACGATTATTTTTTCCTGGTCCCAACAAAGAAATTGTTGAATTAGAAGGATCAAATTTCTTCGTAAAAATTGAAACCTTGCCGCAACCAAAACATGCACGGGCGTTTTTTATTTTAAAAGACTCTGAAGAAGAATGCGACGTCCCAGAAGAAATTAAATATGTAGATAAGATGAATAATATTGAAAACACAAAAATGCCTTGTACCGAATATTTTTTACTTATTCACCCAAATAAATATGAATTTTATTTTAATGATGTAAAAAAAAATTAGTTTAAAACCCGAACCTAAATCTTTTTTAATTCAATTATAAATGATTTATAAATAACAAATGATAAAAATTGGCAAACGATAGAATTAGATGAATATAAATTTTTAGTTGGCAAAATCTGAAATTAAGCAATTTAAATTAAGTTATAAGCATGTATTAAATAAATTTTTATATGATATTAGATTACGTTTAAAATAAAATCACTATTTGTTTATAATTTTATAAAACTTATTTTATTTATTTAAAAACATTTAACTTAATAGTTAGGATGGGTTCGTTTATTATGGCCCACGCTACCACAAATGCTATACTTATATTTTTTGGATGAATCACGTTTGCATTTGTGGTTTCCAACAGAAACGTGAGTACGTTTGTTATAACCAAACATGTTCACATCAGCAGCGCGACAAATTGAACAACTTGTTTTCCTTTTTTTGAGTTGTTTACCAAAACTCAACCTTATGAAAACAAAAAATAAAAAAATAATTAAAATCTTGTTCTTATTCATAATATCTAAATAAATAATAAAAATACGTATTAATATAATAAAATATATAAAATATAAAATAAATAAAAGCGCACCTTAATTTTTCTTTTGATTATTAATTATATTAGCTGTATCAATTCTATTTATATAACTATCAAAAAAAAATAAATAAATAAATAAATTGTTACACAGCAGTAAAAACTATAAAAAAGAATTGATTTACTTTTTTTAAAACAAACCTGATTAAAATGATTAACGTAAGTGCTCTGTTATTTTGTTGTTAAATTGACTTGGTAATTAATTTGTTTAATTACAGCTTATATTTCATATACTACAATTCTCCGATATCTATTATACATGGCAAAGGTATTATAGATTAATTATGTGAATATATGAACAATGTTATGAAAATGGTTTCTTAAGTATAATTGTTCTATGTTTGATAAATATAATCTATGGAATTATGGTTCATTTTTATAAAATGGGATATCAAAATATTTATAAAACAATAATGTGGATAATAATTTTTTATGTTTATTATAACGTCGGGTTCTGGTACACGTTAATGTATTTTAGAAGTATTTTTTTAGATCTTTTTAACTCAGAATAAAAATTAATAACTCTGATTAAATTTTAATTATGGTAACTCATTTATCAATGAATTTTTTTATTTAGTTAAAC